GCTGTGCCGCGGGCAGGCACCGCTGGCGTTTCGTCGGACCGAGCTGGCGGGGGCCACAGCGCTCTGAGGCCAGTCGCTAGGTTCGCGCGCGCGCCGGGCGTTTTCCTCGGTGCTCGTGCGCTTTCCCCCTTTCTCTCTCTCTCTCTTTCTCTCTCTCGCTGTCGCCCCCCCCCCATGCCTGCCTGTTTCCTTCGAATGCAGCTTGAGTTGCGGCCCTTCATGACGCCTTCCGGCCCAGTCTCGCCAACAGAGGCCCACTGTGGGAGCCGCCCAGCGTGGGGTCGCAAGGGCAGGGAGAGGCAGGCGTGTGTATGTGTGTGTGTGTATGGGGGGGGGGGGCATCCCCCGCCGCATGCATTCGCAGAGAGCGCCCCGCAAAAAGAAGGGGGCAAGTGACGAGAGGGGGGGGGGGGGCATCGCCGCGTCGGGGGCCAATGTGCCAGCAATCGTGCGTCCAGCTCCCGAGGCTTGCGCTGGACTGCTTGTGTCGCTTGCCGGCCGGCCGGCGGACCGATGCGGCCCCGCGGCCCCCGCCTTCTTTTCTGGTCGGCGCGGGCGCGGGCACAGCCCCGCCGAGAGTGTCTGCCTCGTGCCGGCGGGACAGCTTGCAGCAGAGCTTCTTGCCCCCCCCGCCCCCCCCCCCCCCCCCCCCCCCCCCCCCCCGGCCCCCCGCCCGCCGCGGGGGGGGGGGCGGGGGTGGGGGGGGGGGGGGGGGGGGGGGGGGGGGGGGGGGGGGGGCGGGCGGGGGGGGGGGGGGTCGGGTGGCGGGCCGGGCGGTGCTCTCCGTGGGGGGGGGGGGGGGGGGGGGGGGCCTCGGGACAAATCAGACCCCGCGCCTGGCGAGACACCTTGTATTCCGGAAGTTCACGCTCTGTGGTAAGCCCCCGCCCCTCGGGATAGCGCAGCCAGATGCCCCTCGCCGGGCTGTCGATGTCCCCCCGCCCGGGGCTTTCCTATGTGGTGCGCGCGCGTGCGCACATACCTGCACACGCCCACCCGCAAGCCAGAGGGTGCCCATCCACGGGGCCCACGGGAACTGCTGTTTCCCCCGCACCGCGCATGTGAAGCCCACAATCACAATTACTCCCCGCTGATAATCTGGCCCCGCGCGATCTCACCCTCCCGGTGGAATCCCCACCGGCCATAGCTTGGTAGGCCGCGTGCCGCCGCCCCGGCCGCCCCCCACCCCCGCCCCGGCCGCCCGCCCCCGCTTTGGCCCAGTCACCGTCCTGCGGCACCACGCACCAGCCGAGACAACAACCACGCACTTGGCTGCCGCCCCCCCTGGCAGCCGCGCGGTGGACGCCGTGAGCCTGAGCCCCCCCCCCCCCCCCAGCCGCCGCAACTCCACTCCCGGGGGACGGGGGGCGGCCCACACAATGCGGGGGGCAGCGGCGCGCGGGGATCCCATCGGACGCCGCGCGGTCCCCCAGCCCACCCCGCCGACGGGCGCGGCCCCGCCCCCCGCCCCCCCCCCCCCCCCCCCCCCCCCCCCCCCCCCCCCCCCCCCCCCC